ACGCTTTCCTAGCTGTATTATATAACAACAAACACTTCTGTATCTTATTAAACAACCGCCATCCCTGTTACAAACAATAACAGTCGTATAGTCTGGCTGTATTAGATATCGTATTTTCAGACGGTACATCAGTAATTCTCTGTCTTATAAAATAAAAACAAAAACCTTCCTTGTCTTAAAAAATAAGAACACATTTTAAACAACCGCCTCACCCGATACAAAAAGTAACAGGGACAATATGTATCAAGTGTATTTCCAGTCAGTACAATAACTTTATACAATAACTCTATTCTCTGGTTGTCTAATAACAAAAAAAAAACGTCTATATCTTAAACAACTCCCTTCCCTGTTGTAAATAAAAAAAACAGTCGTATAGTAGGATTGTATATACATTGTGTTTTTAGTCAGTACATCACTATTTACTTGAGCGAGCTTTAAGCGAAGCGATACCACAAAAGCTTGATACCGTCACATGCAGGCAGGTCCATTAGGGATATGATCGATATGTCAGAAAATAATTACCATGGTTGGCGGCTTCACATAGTGACAGAATACAACTAGATTTATAACACTATGAAGTTGTCTTTAGTTAAAGACACTCGCTGGTGATGCGGTACTTAGCAAGTATGTGTTATAATTTTCTAGCAGTATGTTCAATCTTATTGTGTACTTTTAAATAGCATTACGTCTGTGACGTTCAATAGTATTGCGCGTTTTGCAATATTAGTTTTACGGATAACATTTCCATTATATTCGGATTAGTGTAAAATTATAAGTGTGTGGCACCATAAAAAATTCGGTAACTTATTTATGTGTGATTTTAGTTAAGTTTTACGGGAGTGTTATTCTCAATATCGAGTAACGGTGAAGTTCAATACATTTAGTGCGCTTTTACAATATTATTTTTTTACGGTTACCCGTTCTATTTTATTTGCAGTATCCTTTTAATTATGTAAGATCATAATTTTTTGACTTTATATTATAATATTCTGTTACAGTTTAATATGTGAGCTTAGGTAAGTTCTAGGGTGGTTGGGGGGATGGCTGAATGGTTAGCGTCATTGAGTCAACTGGTGTGGTTTCGATTCGCCAGTTGTACGTGACAAGGAGTAGGGTCGCCTGTCCAACCTCGTGGGTTTTCTCCGGTTTCCCCCCCACTGATAAAGACCCCTAAGCGCAAGTGAATTATTGAAATAAAATTAAACGATGTGTTAGTCTCGAATGACCTAATTTGTGTCGAGTGGACGTTTAACTCCACTTATACTACGATGTTCAATACTTTTGTGCGCTTTTACAATATTATTTTCATTAAATTTGGACTAACCCTATAATTATGTAAGATTCGTTAACGATTTAATGTGTGATTTTATTTATGTTTTACGGGAGAATTATTGTTTGAGTTGACGTGTTTTTGCGGTCGTAAAGCAAGTAGTGTGGTTATTATTACCTAATGATTATCGCGGATACTATGGCAAATAGTAAAGTTTTGACTGTATTCTATAGTATCTATAGGTTGTTTTTTGGGGGTTTTTTTGCATAACTTTTACGGACAGCGTTTCTGCGTTTCTGTTTTATTTTGATAAATGCAATGACAGTTGTTTCAATAGCATTTAGTAATTGAACTGGAATATACAGGTCACAATTATATGGAATACAATTACAGTTTTTTACTGAGCGACGATTCGACCAGGCTTCTCTAATTATTATCAAGCAATGACAAAACATGAAAATATAACAAGACAATATATACATGTACACAATACCCGGTTTATGCTGACCAATTACCAGAGACATCTTTCCAATTACCTTGAAGGAAACCTAACTTAATTAAAGGTTATTTTAAGTTAGTTTCCCTTTAGGTACATGTAATTAACCAAATATTGTTGTTTACATGTATTATTGTTTTGTTATATTTTCATATTTTATCATTTGCTTTATAATGACTAGAGAAGCTAAGTCGAAACGTCGCTAAGTAATAAACTGTAATTCCATAGAATTGTGATCTGTATATTGCAATGATAGTTATCGACACTTCATACGTGGGTATATTATAAGCTTCGCATTTGATATTTGGGTATCGTTACAGTATTGGTTCTTTGAATCAGGTTCTTGATGACAACACTGATTTAAACTTTTTTTTATTCATCCAAACATATAATGTACAAGACTCCTTAGTTAATGACTTCTATTCTAAGTTATCTGTTCTTGAGTGATCCCTCATAGTGCTAACTGAAGGCGCTCTGGTCTGGATTCAAACATATTCCCAACTAACTCATGTTTCTAAGAGTTCTTTTCTTAACTTGGAACTTGCATGGTCCCATCTTAACTTACTAACTTCCTGATCTCGTCTTTATACCCTTGGTCCTTGTCAGATGTCATGATGATTACACCGCTGGCTATTTCGTAATGCTAGATTATCTTCCTGTACAAATTGCTCAACAACACAATTGACATTACATGTATCAACCATCTTGTCATAAGTGACAGCTGACATGATAATTATTTAATTAATCCCGTCACGTGTAAAAGATGGCATGATATTGTTTAGATACTGTTCTCCTATTGTGTAATATTCCTTTCATTAACGAAATAAAAATAGAGTCGACAATAACCACACTAATGAAATGGTAAAGAATACAATAATAATAACAAAAAAGGATTAAACCCTGATTATGTCTGTAAAAAGTCAAAAGAACAAAACACTGGAAAAGTTATATATATACTATTAAAAAAAAGTAGGGGATATTTGATTTTGGGGGCATAATACTAAAATATGCAAATGACTACGAAAAAAGTCACTATAGAACCTAACAGAAGAAACATTTCCAGTTACATGTGACGCCCAAACGCACCAATAGCTACCGCATGGAATGCAGGTGATGCTTGGGATCATCATGGGGGTCCAACCCAAGATTTGCACGACTCTGACTTTGAATGTTACAGTCATTGTGGCATTGAATTCCAGGGTGGAAACATCAGTTTAATTGTTTTAGTGACCAGAAAACAAATTTTGATATGCGTCAGCTTACCCAAAATGAAAGGTTACGTGCCCTTGGCATGCTACATATCGGCACAACACAGGCGGTTGTGGCGCGGACGATGAATGTTTCTCAGTCTGTCATAAGCAGGCTATGGTCCAGATACCGTGATACACAATCTGTACAGGACAGACCACGCTCAGGTCGACAACTCAAGCCCAGGATCGATTTATCCGTACCTTGGCCTTGAGAAATCGTGTCATCACAGCAAATCAGATCAGCGCTCGTCTTCAAACAGACACTGGTGTGAGAGTGAGTGGCCAGACGATTCGGAATCGACTGCATAGGGGTCACCTTCGCGCCCGACGTCCTCGCGTGATCCCTTGTTTGAGAGATCATCACATTCAGGCAAGACGTCGTTGGTGTAGGGATCGTCAACACTGGGATAATCGACGCTGGAGCAATGTGATGTTTTCAGATGAGTCAAGGTTCACTGTTGATTTTTTAGACAGACGTAGGAGGGTGTGGCGTCGTCGAAACGAGCGCTTCAAAGACGTTAACGTCATCAGACATGATCGATTTGGGGGTGGTTCTGTTATGGTGTGGGGAGGCATCACTGTTGCTGGAAGAACGGCTTTACATGTTGTTGCAGGGCGTGTTACAGGCCAGTACTACCGGGACAACATCTTGGCATATCATTAGTTGAACTCAATTGGGTAATCAAATTAGCAACCGGAACAGAATTTTAATTACTAATATTTATAATATTACTAATATTATAGAATATTTACATTAGGATTTACATAAACAAAACTTAAAATAGGATTTTGTCCTAATATTGGTTTTTTTCCCTCAAGATAAAGGATAATGAATGATCTGAACACATTTCACCTATCTTAAATAAGATATATTTACAAGAATTTATCAAAGTTAACAACAGTTTATCTCACTAAGTTTCGAACACGATACAAAACAAAACATCTCATTCGCTTCATTCGTCTCGAGGAAAACAAATAAAATCTCTGCCGTAAATATCGGGCCATCCCATAATAATCTGGGCGCTTCTTTCAAGACGAATAAATTCTCTCTCGTAAATAGCTAGGCATCGTGTAACAATCGAGGTAATAGACAAACAAACAACTTGGAGATAAACCAGTTAATACCTATGAAAGTTTATTAATTATATTCCAAATTACGACACTGTTAACCCAGTTATAGTTAAACAATCACAAAACATTTTACGGTATTTCTTAATATAAACCTCTTAATACTTGGTTAATACTTATTTTATAAGGCAAAATATGTGTTGCAATTTACAAATCGTTTAAAAACAACCAATCTGATTAATATACAGATCTATATTTCGTTTCGTTTTTTTTTTATACTTTCGATGGTCTACATGAAGAGCTGACCGGTTGTTGCGATAGGTCACGTCAGAGGTCATACGAGCAACTTTTGACCCTATGACGTCAGACATCCAATTAACCAATCAGCATTGATGTTACTTGTGGATTACCCACAGTTCCGTGCAAAACACGCCTAAAGCTCGCCGTAACTGACCGTTTTATTGGCTAATACCTCACACTATTCAGAACGCGTCAATGATAACAAGTCTTCCAGATCCTAGTGTAGTAAAGACAAGTAAAACGGAATTTTGAACTATAAAAACAAAACTAAATAGGATCTGTGTTTTAATTAGATTGAAAAACAACAAAACTATTGTCATGTCTCTACAAATAGTTACGCACTGTTCAACTACTATCCTTATAGGTAACATATTTGATTTTTCAGTAAGGAACGTCAGTTAAAAAACAATATTTCTTAATACTATCGGTCATATTAGTAAATAAAGAAAAGGTGCTATGTTTCAAAAATTGACTGGGGAATTCAACTGTTTATCATCAACTCTGAATCATCATGGAGTAACTCAATTGTTTCCTAAATGTTTAAAACAATTGAGTTACTCCATGAAGTTTTAGAGTTGATGATAAACAGTTGAATTCCCCAGTTGATTGTTGGAATATAGTACTTTTGTCGTTATTTACCGCGACCACAGTTACGATGCAGACTTACCTTTGGATCACATGAAAAGGTAGCGGCACACCTGGCTAAATATATATGAAAAATATTTGATTTTTGCAAAATAAAAACATGGCATACAACCGTCAGACTAGTCATAGACACACAGAATGACTTAAACTAAATAAAGAAAAACACAGCTATGAACTTACTTTATTGCAGTCTTTCGAATTTAATCAGTTAAATAGGTGGCTTCGTTAGTGAGAAATTTTCTAAGTGTGCCGTTCAAACTTTCGCGGCACACTTAGGAAGATCTTGCGGCACACAGGTGTGACGTGGCCCACTGGTTGCGAATCGCTGGTCTAGTGGATGACTTGACTTGTACGTTGCTCTGGTCAGACGGCACCAATTGATATGTTACAGTATTGGTTCTTCTAATCAGATTCTTGATGACAACACTGGTTTAACTTCATGTGATACTTTTTTTTATTCATCCAATCATATAATGTACAAGACTCTTTAGTTAATGACTTCTTAGTTAGCTGGTCTTGAGCTAGACCTGGTGCCAACTTAAGAGTTATTGTCCAAACTTGGGACTTGCATGGTCCGAACTTAACTTAGTAACTAACCTTGCTGTATTTTGTCTTAGCGCACGCGCAGGGGTCTTTCCTGTGGGAGGAAACCGGAATATCCGGAGTAAATCCACGGGTTTCAGAAGGTGCCCCAATCTCCAAGCCACATGCGCTCACACCAGGTGTCGAAATCACAAAGGTAAGCATACTGTTTTAGCCCCGAGCCTGTGTTGATACAAAGTAAAATGTTTTGATATATGTACCTTTGTCTTGCACATTTTACTATTTAAAGACTACTTTCAGTTTTGTTCGGATCAATAGTTTGGGAAATTATGCTGATTACACTATTTTGCCTGATTACACTATTTTGCCTATACCGTTTTTTGTCTAATGGTTTGGATTGTTCGTACTTGGTTTTATTGTATTTATACATATTATATTTATGTTATATTTTTTTTCTAATTTGTAACTGCTAGATTCGTAAAATGTTTTATTGTATAGTTTAAAACTTATCACGCTAAGTTGATTTACAGCTACGCAGTATGACGTGACTCCATTCAAAGGAACCCTTGATACCACTTGTAGAACACTTGATACTACTTATAGAACACTTGATAACTTGTAGAACAATTGATACCGCGTCTAGTACACTTGATATCATCTACAGAACACTTGATACCGCATCTAGAACACTTGATACCGCATCTAGAACACTTGATACCGCATCTAGAACACTTGATAACTTGTGTAGAACACTTGATACACTTGTAGAACACTTAAGTCTTGATACCGCATCTAGAACACTTGATACACCTGTAGAACACTTGATACTTCTTATAGAACATTTGATAACACTTCTGGAACACCTGATACACCCGTAGAACATTTGATACCGCGAATAGAACATTTGATACCACTTCAAGAACACTTGATACCGTGTCTAGGACACTTGATACCGCATCTAGAACACTTGATACCACTTGATACCATGTCTAGGACACTTGATACCTCATCTAGAACACTTGATACCACTTACAGAACACCTGATACCACTAACAGAACACATGATACTACTTATAGATAAGTCAGTTGATAACACTTCTAAGATTGATATCATGTATAGAACACTTGAAAACACTTCTAGAACCCTTTGATACTACTTCAACACAAGATACTACTTCTAGAACACTTTTATGAGACTGATGCCTCTTCAAAGAACATTTGATACCTCTTCAAAAACATCTGATACCACTTGTAGTGTATGTTTGGGAAGCTCAGAAAGCTAAGGATTCATATTGTAAGCTGTATTATTTTTTAAAGCAACTTTAAATTTCCGGGACCGGCAATCCTGTAGACCAACGAAAACAATTGGCCAGTTTTTTTTAATTATTTTATAACAATTTTTATAACCAAAATGCACGAATACATAATGTCTATTTCTGACCGGTATGTCATTGAGTCAAGTGGCGTGGTTTCGATTTACCGGTTGTACGTGACAAGGAGTAGGGTCGCACTGCTAAAGATCCCTACGCTCAAGCGAATTATTGAAATACAATTCAAATATTGGTTAGTCCCAAAATGACCTAGTTTGTGTCGAGTGGGCATTAACCTCCCCCCTCTCTCTCTCTCTTTCTCTCTCTCTCTCTGATAATCGACTGCAGGGATATAGTGAGAATTCATCAGTTAAACTAATTTTGAGGAATAAATGCCAAGGGATAATAATTCTGATAAGGTTTCTTTTATGTGTTCGCGAACGAGTGCACGGACAGAGTGAGCCAGGGTGTGCTTTAACACTGAAAAGGGGACACCATGTTCGGACCCGGGACCCCCCCGTTGGTGACTAAGCGCCAGTACTCAATGAGCCAAGGTCTCTCGCTAGTATAACGACGGACAGAAATGGGCGGTATCTACTACCAATTAACTTGATTCAGAAAAGGGACAAACAGCTACTACCTATCATAAATCATTATCGATGCCAATACGTGATCAAGCACCATACTCGCTATGCCACCGTCGCTCTATTGCCGTGTAGGGTCAGAAAACCAGTGAGAAGTGAGCAAACACAAAAATGTTATCTCAATAAATCGGTGACAATACGTGACCAAGCGCGTTAACCGCTGTGCCACCATAGTATAGGAAAAGAAATGAACATCATCTCAAAATACAGTTAAATTGATTCAAAAAGGAGAAAAAAACCAAACAAATACATATATCTCAATAAATCGTAACCTCATCGACCATTATCGATGGCAATACGTGACGTGGTGTCTATTGTTTGGTATGTAATTGTTATTATAATATTATCGTGATTCCAGGGATAATATAAAACAATGATGGTAGATTTGTTCTTTAAAGATAATAGGATTTAAGTAGCAGTAGTACTTTAGAACGCAAATGAAATCAAATGAAATGGGGTTTAACGTCCTACTGCTCCTACGCCATACAGTGTTCTGTGAGGGAATTCTTGCCGGGACAGAGGCACTATGGCCTACTTTTATATCGAATTCCAACTGTCAATGGAGCTTTTACTGACTATCCACTGACCCTTGCCAGGCCCCCTGTCCTTATACACTGACAATGCAGGAACAACGCCTTTCCCTGTCAACACCGGGATCGACCATGTCAACGAGCCAACATCTTACTCACTGAGCCATCGTGGCTCCCCTATTTTCTACACCAACCGGGCTGTTGGAGACAAAAAAATAGAACAAACATAAGATAGAAGTAGGTAAAGATGTTCTGAAAATCATAAGCATACCCTGCTGAAGCCTGTTTTTAACCATGGATAACTTGGAAAACGTTGCTTTGTTATAGGCTAATGCCAAAGATACTTATCAAAAATACTTCACTGATATGCCAATTCGTCCTGGGTTTTGCCTGTTTAACGTTACAATTTCATATTTTTAAGTTATATTTTTAAAATGTATTAAAATAAAGCCCTAAAATAGATGGCATCCATAAACAGTCCTACCTTGTTAAAGAATAATCCTATTAATCCTATAATTCATTATTGCAAGTTGAGAAATTGGCAAAAATATCATTCTCAACTTCAAATTCAAACGTTTGAAGATAGCTACTCCATGGTGGAGAATAGAAAACAAGGGAGGGAATTGGGAGGTAATTGTGTTATTATTTCCGGTGTAAATGAGTTTTAAGTGTGAGAATGACACCTATGATCGTATAATAGTGAGTTGACAACCTATTGAGCAAAAGACATAGAAATAATTATGTTTTGACTTTCTTAGAAAATATGAAATTGTAACTTTAAGCTTAATCGAGGTATCGCCACGCCCTCTATATGCACTGTGAGCTAATGCTAGTAAGATAGCTTACCATGTTGATGTGGACGTTCAGGAAAAAAGCGCCACTTCTTTCCCAGATCATACCCATTGCCTCAGCTTTTAAATTATGATAGGCACCTCTTCCCCTCACGAGTATCCAAGCTGGCCGCCATAATATACTAGGTGGAATTCGGTGCCTATCAAAGATTTAAAGTTAAGGTAAGATTTGGTGGTTTTATCCGGAACGCTCACATCCATCTCAGATCTAGTCATGAGTATTCTATAATCGACCCGGGTATTACATCAACATGGGACCGAGAGCTTAAATTTAAACCTATATAGAAGTATGAATAAATAAACATAACGACATGGAATAACACTAATTACTTAACTTTTATTACAGCACTATTTTTATACAACCTAATATCTTAACATAAATCATTATAATAGACCTGAGTGTTACATCAACATGGGCCCGAAATGAAATGGGGTTTAACGTCATGCTGTTCTGCTATGAAATGAAATGGGGTTTAACGTCATGCTGTTCTGCTATGAAATGAAATGGGGTTTAACGTCATGCTGTTCTGCTATGAAATGAAATGGGGTTTAACGTCATGCTGAAATGAAATGGGGTTTAACGTCGAAATGAAATGGGGTTTAACGTCATGCTGAAATGAAATGGGGTTTAACGTCATGCTGTTCTGCTATGAAATGAAATGGGGTTTAACGTCATGCTGTTCTGCTATGAAATGAAATGGGGTTTAACGTCATACTGTTCTGCTATGAAATGAAATGAAATGAATTGGATTTTATGGTCCTATTGTTCTGCTCCAAACTGGGCTAATGAAGACGGGCATATGCCATACAGTGTGCAATGAGGGAAATTTTTCCCGGATAGCGACATTATGGCCTACTCTTATTTCGGATTCCAACTGTCAAAGGATTTTTTACTTGCACGATTAGACAGCTGTCCTTGTCAGGCCCTCCGTCCTGCATCACTGACAAGGGGGAATCACGCCGGAAAATCTGGATGAACTGTCTCAGCCAATGCAGGAATCGAACACCCGACCTCCAGACTAGCGAGCCAGCGTCTTACTCACTTAGCCACCGTGACCCCCACATGGGCCCGAACCTAAAACCTATAAATAAGTATGAATAAAATAACAATAATTACTTAACTTTTATTACAGCACCAGTATTAAACAACCTAGTATCTGAACATAATGATTTTTAAGAATGACAACTACGTATAACGATACCTACCTTTATCATGAATTGACATATGCACAATATATTATTATTTTATACATTTATATAGCGCATCTTTCACCGAAGTGTTCAGATGCGCTTTACAATAACAAAGTAAAATACAATTTATAATAAAAAAGAAGTTCCTAAAAATTCAATTTATAATAAAAAAGAAGTTTCTAAAAAACAGTTCCTAAAAATTCAATTTATAATAAAAAAGAAGTTTCTAAAAAACAGTTCCCAAAAATTCAATTTATAATAAAAAAGAAGTTTCTAAAAAACAGTTCCCAAAAATTCAATTTATAATAAAAAAGAAGTTTCTAAAAAACAGTTCCTAAAAATAAAAAAGTAAGAAGAGAGAGACAATGTAAAAATGATGTAAAATGATGTAGAATGTTTAAAACTACCCATAAACATTCAAATGTGTAAAATCAGTAAAAAGCATGTTTGAATAAATTAGTTTTCAAGTGCGATTTGAAAGTAATGATGGAAGGTGATTTCTGAATAAAATAAGGTATATTGTTAACTGGTTAATGAAGACAACATTTCCCATAAGTCTCTGTCTGAACTATATACGCGGACAACTAGCTACCATGCAAAAAAAATGATGCTTCTTTTGTCGAGATTAATATAGATCAAAGCTCTTTTCCGGTAACACAGGAGCGTAACTAAATCTGCCCCATAGACTGTTGATTTAAAAAAAATTCAGACCGGAACCGGATACACTGGGCAAAAATAGCATACAATTTAGATCTAAATCAAATTCAATTCGGAAAAACGTGATTATTTAACATTACTTTTATCACTTGAAACTTTAATTATGAAGGTTTTATATTTAACAACAATCACACCAGCTTCGCTTTACTCGGGCAATGCCTGTTACATATTATGCCTCACGCTAGTAAACTCTTGCAATGTTATTGATCTGATATTTTTTCGTTTCATTTCAGATGACAAGTATGTGAACCAATATGACCTCAAACGGAAGTGACCCGATAGGGGTGACATTAACAGTTTTTGATAATTCAACGGCGTGCTACCCAGGAACTATGGATCCAAATTGCACGACTGTTACAACTTCCGGTACGATATGGACTCCTGACGTCATTCAGCGTGTTGCGTCATTGGTGTTTATTATGACGTTGACACTTGTGGGTAATACGGTGATCATCATTGTGCTAACGTGCAGCCGCTACAGGAAACGGAATAGCCGAGTGAATATATTCATCATTAATTTAGCTATTGGGGATTTAGCTGTTTGCTTCTGCACCATGACTACGGAAATATTATTTGTGGCATTCGGTGAATGGGTGCTCGGATCAGCTGGATGTAAGCTATTAACATACATGCAGATAATTACACTGGCGAGTACAACTTTTATCTTAACGGCCATGAGCTTTGATCGGTATATGGCCATTTGTAAACCGTTAAGTTATAGGGCAACGACATCTAGGGCCAAAAGGATGATAGCCATCGCGTGGATAATGGCCTTTATCTTCGCTATACCACAACTTTTAATATTTGTTCAAACAGTTGATGGGGTTCATCCAGACGGCCAGAACAAATATGGCTGCCGATCTCGTGGATATACCGCTAACTGGCAAAGAAAGATTTATTTCACGTTTATGACACTGTATATATTGGTTATTCCCGCCATTTTAATTTCTTATTTTTACATCAATCTGGTTATGGTCGTGTGGAGACAGGGTAAAGTGATAACGGGATCCAAAGATAACTGTCCATTAAGGCGGTCTATAGCGGATAAAAAAGCCATCCCCAGAGCCAAAATAAAAACCATTAAAATGACCTTCACCATTATAGCCAGTTTCATAGTGTGCTGGACGCCATATTTTGTGACAACTCTGATACGAATATTTAGTAATTACACTTACACTATTCCAGCTGCCGTGGTGGCTTTTGTGGAAACACTTGCCCTGTTCCAAAGCGCTCTTAATCCTCTGTGGTACGGATTCTTTAATATTAAGCTGAAACGTGGTCTAATGGAAGTGTTCTGCCCCAGTAAATTGATGGCTGCCAATCGCGGGGTTAGTTTTAAATCGAACGGACTGACGGAATGCATGTCTGTTACCGAAGAATACCAGGCATTACACGCTAGCAAACGCCATTCAGGGAGATATCGGGAGAATTCGTCTACATCGAGTAGCGGATCTCACGAACGTCTCAGTTTACGTTCGCCAGCTACGATAATAACAGAGGAAAATAAAAACGGATTTAAATTGCGCGTTAGGTTTGCTATAAAGGATTCCCCTAAACTTTCCGAGCACTGTTCGGTTCTGTGTGATAACGGTGATTGCAGGGTAAATGATGTGCCTACTAACAGTGTCAGTGTGAAAACCTCGTGTATGTGACGATGAAAATCTCGTGTATGTGACGATGGATTTTGTGGAATTAGCTGTTCATGTGATTTACCGTGACCGCAGTGACTTTCTCCGTATATTAATCAACTGCGGTCTGAAAATCTGTTTACAGGGAGAAATGTATTCAGAGTTTTCTCCCATTGTGATATTTGTTTTTTTTTCTCTTGTAATTTATTGTTATTGTATTGTATTAGGCACATGCGACAACACACAGGAGTCACCATCTATTGTGCGCATGCGTTAATCATATGCGTGTGTGTTGCATTTATTATATTATATTACTATCTACATGTATATTCGCCATATGGAGGAGTAGGCACGACGATTCCAAAAAAGGGTTAAGGTTAGAAAAAGGGTTAGGATTAGGGTTGATCACGTTTCCACTATGCTAATGAGACATGCGCATGCGTGCGTATGCGCACAGCAGATGATGACTTGTATAGACCTAAGTGTATTTGTTCTTACAAAGAAAATGTCAGATGTCTATTACAAACTAATATGATGTTTAACCACTTTCCACAAGAAAATAAATTTACTTAATTTTGAACTCATGATGTTCAGTATTACCCTGGACCAGACATGATCATCCAGTTATGTTCCATGTGCCAAAACACTATCCGTACGCTTTCAAATGTACCATATAACTTCAAACGATACCGCCGTCAGACCTGGGTCGCGTCCTTACTGCGCTGCTTCGGCGACGGAAAATGGTCTCTGAGGGCGTCAATATCGCCATGTGCGTCATAAAAGCGTGGTGGAAACGCCAAATATCGTACTGTGGTCTCCATGATCGCCGAATCACGGTGTTTGTTTTGGGCATGTTCAGAGTAAACGCCAAGGTTCTGCGATCTGGACTGGAAAACTGTGAGAACTCCGACTTTTTTCAAGTTTGTAATACTTTGGGACATTTTCGCACGTTGTGCTCACGTTTGCCGGCGACATTGTGCATTTTCTGGTCGCTGTACGGTCGCTGTAGCGCAGTAAGGACGCCACCCCTGTCTGACGGGGGCATTATGAAGATGACTTTCAAGAAAGAACAGATTTGCTTGTGTGCTAAAATAATCGGACGGTAGTCATTGGTGTTACATTGATCTTAAGGCGGTTTCTAGAACGTGAAATGCACCACTATGGTCCGATGTAGCATATGGGATGGACCTATGTGGCATTTTGATTTCTCCAGTGTTGCACTTAAGCGGGTGTGGGGGGGGGGGTCCACTGTGGCAGTTGTACCATAGGGTGCTCATCTCCGTCTGAGAATACGATAATGTGGGCATTCTTAGTTTAACAAGTAAACCTGCCCCGTGTACGTCTTGCTCCAGGGACATGATTTAGTCTAGACAACTGGAGACTGGGGGAGAAGGAGGTGCAAGGAAGGGGTTGCGTGCAAGATCTGCCTTAGGGGGCTACACTTCATATTTTCCCGGCTGTGATCCTTCACTCAATTAGGAAATACAGCGCTGAGATAAGGACTTAGCTGTCATAGATAGTCATAGGAGTCTTAGAAACCAATTAACTCGTACATGTTCCGTCAAGACCCATCAACAGATTAGCGCGTAAAACTAATCCACTCTGGCCATTTAATTGATATTGTTCTGTGAATAAATCGGGTTAATCCTGAACCGGAACCCAATAGTTTAGTCCCAAGCAATAAAGGTCAGTTGTTAGGTTAATACTGCGTTTTAAGTAATTATCTTGGAAAAGTTTACGAGCGGTATCAAATAGTCACGTGTATCAGGTAGCTCAATGAAAAATGGGAAGGCGATTTCCCTAGAAGATCATTATGTCCGAACCGCTCATTTTCTTAAGCTGCGACTTTCTTTCAAACAATCAACCGAATTGCCCATTTCTTCCACATTTTAGCAATTGATTTAGAAACCCAGTGAAAATTTCAACGACTCATTTATAGTTAACATTATCTATGTTGAACTTTAAAAATCCATTTGGTTCAATCAATCTTTGTCGAACTACATCCGATTTGTCTATAAATTTGCCGTAATTGTGGAATGATTTTGTCATTATTGTCTATACAGGCGACACATCTTTAGAGTAGAATTCTTGGGTTATTTCAAATACGACCTCACTTGTCATGTACGGCGCTTGAAAGACTTACAAGCCTTACGATAAACCGGATGTCGCGGGTTCGATCCCGGTGTTGGCCGAGAAAGTTCATCGGGATTTTCGGGCGTAGTTGCCCCCTGTCTAGTCGTTCGGATGGGAAGAAACACCGAGGTCCCGTGTATACATTAAAGGATCCCTTGACAGTTGAAATTCGATAAAAGAGTACAGCGCCGCTGTCCGGGCAACAGTTTGTTGTACCCTTCGAACGACTAGACGTTTATTTCTAAAAATCCTTTTCCTCAAGGAAATGAAATGTTGTTTAACGTCCCACTGCTCTGCCCCGACTAGGCTAATGAAGACGGGTTGACGCCATACAGTGTGCTATGAGAGAAAATTTGCCCGGACAGCGACACTACGGCCTACTCTTATATCGAATTCCAACTGTCAAGAGATCTTTTACGTGCACGCCAGGGTGGTTGGATGGCCGAATGGTTAGCACGTGCGTGCTGTATCATAAAGCCTGTCATTGAGTTAACTGGCGTGGTTTCGAATCCCCGGTTGTACGTAACAAGGAGTAGGGTCGCCTGTCCAACCTCGTGGGTTTTCTCCGGGTCCTCCGGTTTCCTCCCACTGCTAAAGACCCCTACGCGCAAGCGAATTATTGAAATAAAATTAAACCATATGTTAGTCCCCAATGACCTAGTTTGTGTCGAGTGGACGTTAAACCCCATTTCTCTCTCTCTCTCTCTCTCTCTCTCTCTCTCTCTCTCACGTGCACGCCAATGTGTACACGAGGCCTCGGGTTTTCTTCCAGTCGTGAATTACATTAATTGGATTATACTGAATTTCTTGTGGCTAGACATTTTTGACTTTAACTTGCCGACTTCATTAGCTTTTATATGTTGGTTTGCTTTGTTGGATCACAGTCGGAATTTTGGGATCGACGTTTCTTTATAATCGAGAATGTATTGGATTCTAGAATATATTTTTTTGTGTTATGACCTATGTGAAATTGTATCTTCTTTCCCCATTTTGACTTTTCATTTTGTCTACTGTGGTATAGCCATCCTTGGTAACGATGACTATAAGAGTCGTGTTGCTATATAATCGAGACTTAACACTGTCTTACTTCCGGTCTGGTACAATATGGACACAGCTCACCAAATATTTCTACGCCGTCACCCACGAAACAAGGGCCAAAGTTATTTTTAGTCTCTCTCTCACTTTCCCTTTTTCCCCCTTTTGCATGGCGATTTTTGTTGACTTTTTGGTGTAGAATCGAAAAAAAGGGTTTGAAAATACATTTTCTGCCAGGTTTTGGTGAATATTCATGATTTTGAGGCGGAAGGATACAAGAGTTGTGAGGTTGGTTACGTTGAAATGTAGAGCCGGAAATTGCATGTTTACTTGCCTCTACTTCCAACTTGTGTATCTCAAGTTTTTCATGGTGAACCTCATACATGCTTTTGGGCAAGAGTTTGCCACATACATGTTGCTCCATCTGTGGCAGAAAGCGTTCTACCCAACGAAAATTTGGGAAAAAGTTTGAGCCGGTCTAAGAGACGAGAATTAACATTAAAGTCAATGGGGAAATAATTAGTGATCTGTGGCCATATCTTGGCAACATGCGAACGAAAACTAAAGCCTTATCTTTTTCGGGGTCGTTATATCATCTATATACCAAGGAATAATATAAGACTAAAATGTTTTTGTCGCCGTCTGTATATTTTATTGTGTTTATTTTATTGTTGTTGTTTTTTAAATCTAGAATGACGAATGATTGATAATGTGTTTGTTTGTTTATTGTTAAAACTTGATTCATTATTAAATTATTACACACTTTTATTCGGACGTTTATGTTGTATCATGTTCTGTGGTGATGTCGCTCTACACGATTAGTGATGTCACTCTAGACTTGGGGGGGGGGGGGGGGAATGGCTGAATGGTTAGCGTGCGCGCGCTGTATCATAAAGTCTGTCATTGAGTCGACTGGCGTGGTTTCGAATCCCCGGTTGTACGTGGCAAGGAGTAGGGGCGCCTGTCCAACCTCGTGAGTTTTCTCCGGTTCCTCCGGTTTCCTCCCACTGCTAAAGACCCCTACGCGCAAGCGAATTATGTAAATAAAATTAAACCATATGTTAGTCCCGAAATGACCTAGTTTGTGTCGAGTGGACGTTAAACCCAATTTCTCTCTCTCACTCTAGACTTGTGCTAAGACCACGCTCGGCTTGTGGTGGTGTCACTCTACACGATTGGTGATGTCACTCTACACGATTGGTGATGTCACTCTACACGATTGGTGATGTCACCCGCTACACAATTGGTGATGCCACTCGCTACACGATTGGTGGTGTCACTCTAGACTTGTGCTGAGACCACGATCGGCTTGTGGTGGTGTCACTCTACACGATTGGTGATGTCACACTACACGATTGGTGATGTCACTCTACACGATTGTTGATGTCACTCGCTACACGATTAGTGATGTCACTCTAGACCTGTGCTGAGACCACGCTCGATTTGTGGTGATGTCACTCTAGATTTCTGCTGAGACCACGGTATCACGATTAGTGAATCATTATATACCCATAATGAAAAGACAACATTTAAAACATGCATCAAAATGTCCAAACTGTTAGCTATAATGAATTCTCCATTAAACACTACTCATTCACAGATGAGGCCAAATCGAAATGTTAAAACTGTTAAATCGTATTTGATTGAGCCCAATGGCAAATACTGACACCTGAAGTGCTATTGACTAATTATTGTTGTCCAAAATCGAGATTACTTTTGTATTGACATATTTTCCCCATCACAATAATCTTCTACTAAACGCTAAAACCGATAAATGGAACCTGTAATGGAACTTCACAGCATGTAAGACACCCTGAGAATGATGAAACTAACTGTTCATCAGAGTGGTATATTGGCGTTTAAATGAAAAATTCGAGCAAATCAGTATCCTTTATACTGTGTTCAATATCTTATCCATTAACTAGTTTTGGATTAACTTCAGCGATGCAACAAAATTTGAATCAATTTTCATTTAATAAAGTAATTAATGGATGTGGCGTCATAATCCTAACCGACTTACTATTACTCATGCTATGGACCTGGGGTCTTACGGATCAATGGCACATGGATTTGATGGTACTTAGTCCCAAACATATTGACCAAACCCTGCTGTGACTAACATTATCTTTAAGCGCTTTGTAAGATTAGTTAGTACCCCTCAAATTTAACGCCATGTGTTGACTGTTTAACCAACCTTCTTGCTAGTATTCTTAATATCTTTAAGCGCTGTATAACATTAGTTATTACCTCTCAAATTTAACGCCATGCGTTGACTGATTAACCTTCTTGCTAGTGTTCTTTTAATTCTTAAAGGATAACTGCCGTGACCTCATTCCGCTAACCCACTTACTATTCTTCTTGATTTTTCTTTTGGTATTGATGAAATTTGAAATTGATTGCTTTTATGGTCGGAACTCTATTTTCCTAATTTTAACAAGAAAATCACGCAGTTGTATAATATTATTTAGTACCCCTATACTGATATTTGGTTTTCATCTCAAATGTAAGGATGGCTGGATGGCCGAATGGTTAGCACGTGGGTACTGTATTATAAGGTGTCATTGAGTCATCTGGCGTGGTTTCGATTCCTCGGTTGTACGTGACAAGGAGTAGGGTCCCCCAGTTCCCCCCCCCCACTGCTAAAAACCCCTACGCGCCAGCGAATTATTGAAATAAAATTGAACCATGTGTTAGTCCCGAAATGACCTAGTTTTGTTTCGAGTGGACGTTAAACCCCATCTCTCTCCCTCTCTCTCTCTCTCTCTCTCTCTCTCGCAAATGTAATAAATTTAATGTTGATCCGTAAAAGATAAATCAATGGATCGAAATTATTTTTGCCACCAACAAGTAAAACCATTGAATGAATCGTAGAGATAATAACTGCAACTGTGGTATTATTATTGTCTTCATACCAGACCACCCTGTAAACTTACCCATTGAATTTCGATTCCCCGGTTGTACGTGACAAGGAGTAGGGTCGCCTGTTCAACCTCGTGGGTTTTCTCCCGGTTTTCTCGCCTGTCCAACCTCGTGGGGTTTTACGTGTCCCCCGGTTT